TATATATATATATATATACTCAATAAAATAATTACCATAAATTGCTATCCAAATCAAAAATTTTTTTTTCTCTTATTTTTGATCTCAATTTCTTCGATCCAACATTTCTACTTTGACACTTTAATGAGACAGATCGTTTTTTTTCAAAATTATTTAATTTTTATAATTTTACGAAAGCTCTCTTCTTCTCTAAATAGCATTATTAATGATTAAAGCTTATGTAAAAAATAAATTGCATTTAATATAATCTTTCCTTCTTTATTTTTCATGATTTTAATTTTTATCTTATTGAATTGTGTTTATATGTATGTATATGTTGTTGGCAAATCAGATTGAGAGAGCCTTAATAGAAATAGACTTTAAGACACTCTGCTCTTTGAAAATAAATAATATAAAATATTTCTCGCTTGATGCTATTTTGATTTTAAAGCACAAGATTCTTTGATTTGATCAATCAAATGCTTACTCGAAATATTTCATTGATTAATCTAATAATCCAAGTACTCCTAGTAAAGACGGAGTTTATGACGTCATTAATCATTTTCAGAGCGATCAAAATTGCTTCACTCGAAGACGCTATTTATTATATCGCCATTAATTTGTGAATCTATTATTAAGAAATATTTTTGTTAGTTTTTTTCTCAGGTATTTTTATTAAATAACAGCGTGTTAACTTTTTTTGTATGATTGAATAAACTTTATTGGTCCCTCTACTTAAAGTTTAAGAAATAAAAAAGAAATAATGACACTTTCTTAGGGCGGGACAATCTGTAATAAAAGATTCTTCGGTGATCTTACAGCCTATAATAATATAAATAATAATAATAATTTTTCCAAATATGGGCAATTGAAAAATACGATATTCTCAAGACGTTTTCGCGAATATTGATGCGATCCGTTTGCTACTGAGATAAAAGGACGATCTTTCCGCAGGTATCTTCGGGGTCAGACATGTACAGGCGGTGTTACTGTTCCTGGGCATGACCATGGGGTACAGTCTCAGGGTCGCGATGTCGGTAGCCATAGTGCCGATGGCAGACGCGAAAACCGCGAATCCAGATATCGAGGTAAATTACGTAATTCTTTTATTGTGAGCGGGACTTAAACAGTTATACGCTCGAACACTATTTATAACACTCGAGACTACATTCTCGCTTAATTAAGCGTTAGATAAGCGTATCGAACATGCCCATTATATAACAACAACGCGATCAAGTTATTACTGTTGCTTGGAAAAAATCTGTGCATGCAATATTATAATTTCTTTTGCACTTATGAAATACGATTCGAATTGCGATCTTGTCTTTCATATTTGGTCTTAATTCCCTTAATTCCCTCCGTTAATTTCCCTTATGAAAAAATACTGCTAATCATACAGAAAATACAGTGATTAAATACTGGCAGTATTTTAGTAATTTTTTGGCTAGTACTTCGTCCAATCACTGGTTGAAGTACTTGATAAAATTAGTGATAAAGATGAAATATTGTCCAGGAAGCGCATGTCATTTTGACATTAGATTTTGATCTCTCACTCACCTCTTTTGATGAATTGGTTTTCAAAACGTGAAAATGATTGTCCAATCACAAACGATTGACGTCACAAAAGATATTTAATACTTTGATGTTATTGATATGACTTCTATTTGACGAATATAACAACGTAGTAGATAAATAACAAAATAATAAAATTAAATAACTTAACTTAATTTTTTTATAAAAGTCTAAGATTTTTTATTTACATGGAAATCTCTTATTTTACATCTCAAGTAGATATAAAAACGGGCGATTTTCACTCATTTGGATACTCATTCGGCCCCATTTTCAAATAATTAATTCTAAATCTGAATAATTGCTTATGTTGGGATTGTATCAGAAGGTAAACTGATAGAAAAATGTATCACATTTTATTAGATATGCTTTGTAGACTTTATATACTTTCATGAAAAAAACTTATATAACAGTAAGCGAATGAGTTTATCGTTATTTAATTTATTAATTACTTATTGAATTTTTAGCAGTGCTTTGTATAAATATTTTATCACAGATGCAGAATTATACCTTAATATTTCAATACTAATATTAAATATTAACAGTATTATATCTTGATATTTCAATATTAATGTTAAATATTAGCAGTATTTAATCACTGAAAGCTTCAATATTGAAATGCTTGTCATTAGAAGCTTAGTAGTTGAATCAATAGAAATTACATTAACAATTTAAATACTCAAAATAAATAATTAATCAATAACTCATTAGTGATAAATTTCCGTAAAAGTTATATTTTTGCTTATCAAAATTGTTCAGTTTTATCTGATCTCTATTAGCGAATAAATGCACCTGTAACAATTACAGTAGATATTAGTCTTTTTTCACATTTTTAACCATTAAATTATACGAGATATTAAATATCAAATTCGATATTGCGTATTTAATATATGTCGAACTTTTCATATTCAATTTTATATCACAGTAAAATTGTATATGTTATACATGGTTGTATGTTATTGTACATTACTTAAAATCGTTGAATTGTTCGATTCCAATCGAGCAAAACTGCTTGCGTCGATAGATCGGTTTTTATAGATTTGCAGAATGTATTTCATAAATTCGCGATCGTGCTGTTAAAAAATCTGAAATCTGGGGCAAGGAAATTTCCCTCCGCGAAATCGGGAGAGTTTAAAGTGCATAGGGTCGTGCTCCGGCGTCCGATAGATGCTTCCCTCGTGTGATATAACGTTTTCGAGTGAAGCAAGTTCGATCGCTCTGAGAACGATTAATGACATCATAAATTCCGTCTTGGGTTACTAGGGGTACTTGGATTATTAGATTAATCAAATACTTTGAGTAAGCGTTTGATTGATTAAGGGCCAAGAATCTTGTGCTTTAAAGCCAAAATAGCATGAAACGAGATATACTTCATATTATTTATATTATGAATGTATTATTTATATTATATTTATCTAAAATTAAAATTATATAAATATTATATATGTTTATGGCAAATTGGGTTTAATCGTTCTCAGAACGATTGAATCTGCTTCACTCGAAAAACGCTAATAGATAAATCTCATTGTCAGCCGCGCGCGACTGATGATTTGCGGTGGCATGTTTCCTGTTGTCTTGCCCGAAAATATAGCATAAGGTTGATGATCAATTCTTGATTCATTCTTGTTTAAATTCTTGAGCATAAATGTACAATGATCTCGTGCAGATAACTCTTATCGTTATCTTTACAGGGTCGCTAATAAGATTGATAAATATAATGACTCGTCATATCATAATTATCATCAGCGAAAGTATGATAAGATCGCGATGCCGCGATAATCTCTTCACCGATTTATGCTATAATATTATCACATAATTATAATTTCACACGTTATTATTTTAATTATACAGAGTGTTTCAGATCACCCGTTCCCCCTTTTATTCTGAAAAGAGATGGTACCAGAAATTAGGACAAACATGTTTACCTAAAAGCCTATCTGAAGTTTCTGATAATAGTACTTTCATTTTTGGGAAACCCCTGGAAATACCGGAAACCCGATACCCATGTTGCCCATGTTGCCATTTAAAATTTTTAAGTTGCCCTCGGTTTCTGATATTTCCGAGGGTTTCCCAAAAATGAAAGTACCATCATCAGAAACTTCTAATAGGCTTTTATGGTAAACCCAACTTCCTAGCACCATCCCTTTTCAAAATAAAAGAGGTGGACTGAAACACCCTGTATATAGAATAGCCCATACCACACATACACACACACACACATACATACACACACATACACACACACATAGAGAAATTAATGTTTAAAATAATATTACGCTTGAAAACCGATTACTGCTATCAGGATTATGGTTGGGACCTGGTGCAGAAGAACTTGGTGCTCAGCTCGTTCTTCTGGGGTTATGTGGTAACGCAGGTGCCGAGCGGCTATATCGCTGGCATCTGGAGCAGCCAGAAGCTCCTCAGCATCGGGATGTTGCTATGCGGCGTCTTCAACATCGTGACGCCAATCGTCGCCAGCAAGTGGGGTCTGCCGGCCGTTCTGGTTTGCAGGGTAGGCATGGGTCTTATGCAGGCTTGCTTATTACCTTGCATGCAAACTCTTCTCTCCAAATGGGCGCCACCCTCTGAGAGAGCACGACTAGGTGAGAATAGATACAAAACTCGCGCCCGAGGTATTTTGAACTAATCATAAGACAATTACAGGTTTATACAAGGTGTTAAAAAAAGGTCATATATTTTAAGAACAGGTAGTATTGATCAAAACAAGAAAAAAAAGTCTAATTAACATGGGTCCTACAATTAATATCTTCGAAGATATAGACTATCTTTCTATTTGAGTTCTTTGTTCTTTTCTTATTGATTGTGTTACCTCTACAATGCAGTAAACAAAAGAGTACTTACTAATTTTGCAGTCAGCATTATAGGAGGTGCTCTATGTGGTTAAGTATAGCCAAAAAGGAATTAAGATCAAATAGAAAGATAGCCTGTATCTTCGAAGATATTAATTGTAGGATCTATGTTAATTAGACTTTTTTTTTCTTTTGATCGTTTTGATCAATACTACCAGCTCTTAAAATATGTGACCCTTTTTTAACATCTTGTATATAGAGAGATTCTCTCGTAAAAAATATATAATTCATATATTTTTTTATACACATATTTTTGACATCCAAAAATACATATAAACATTATTATATAAAAATTATTATATATATACCTATATATATCCTTTTATTTAAATTTTGAAAATAACGATTAAGTAAAATAATGCCTAAAGATTTATTAAAACAAGTAGAGTGTGCAAATTAGAAACTTGCACATTGCTTCCTCATCATTTTATTCTGTTATAAAAAATTTTTTGAGACGTTATAAATATTTATAATACGTATAACATAAAATATATAATATTTATAATACGTATAACATAAAATATATAAAATTTATGTGTTATTGAATTTTTAGAAAACCAATCGAAAAACAATCGACAAATTTAATAGAAAATCTACAATAATTAATTGTTTTGCTTATAGTAGATCGTGATTATACTATCGTTGCAAGATATCTATGTTATTTATTTTTTTGATCGCGTCAGGAACTTTTGCTTATGCGGGCGCCCAATTTGGAACGGTGATCACTATGCCAATTTCTGGATTTCTCGCTACATCGAGCATAGGTTGGCCCAGCATCTTTTACCTATTCGGTGCATTAACGATTCTCTGGAGTACAGTTTTCTTCTATTTCGGGGCGGACTCACCTGCCGAACATCGTAGTATTTCTCAGAAAGAAAGGGAGTACATAGAGGAAAGTTTGAGAACCACGGAAACGAAAGATAAAAATGGAAATGAATCCAAGCAGGTATAAAAAAATAGTCCACTCTTATAATATGTATTATAAATCTCACTAACATAAGTAATTTAAATGCTACATGTATATCTTATTTGCTTTTCTTCCCGATTAATCTCAATATCGTGAAACAAAAAAAAAATTTACTTTGTGAAACCTTTTTTATTACTATTATTACATTGTGATAATTATGTTCGGGATAAATTTTTTTGAGAAGAATAAAGATTTGTGTAATGATTCGTTAATAAACCACAGAAAGCATAATATAACACATTTATTTATGATGTGATTCCATGTCTTTTACTAGAAACGTATACCATGGAAGGAAATATTCACCTCGCTGCCCATGTGGGCGCTTATTATAGCCCATTGCAGTCAAAATTGGGGATATTGGACTCTACTGACGGAAATGCCTAACTACATGACAGGCGTAATGAAAAATATCGAGAAGGTTAACAATAAAATTTTATAAAACAAAGAAACTAAAAGAGAAAAGAAATATCTTTCTCCTAAAAATCGCGTATTGTTTCACGTATTTTAATTTTGCTAATTTTCGAAATTTATTTATCGCGATCATATATCACACATTTTACCACATCAATATAATCGAATAAAATACATTTATGTCGAAGACATAGTATTCCGATGCTTGTGAGTTTCCTCACGTTTATGCCAATTCAGCCGAACCTGTTCGAAAAAATATCACTCTGTGAAATAATCACATGTTTCGACATGCAATGTAAAAATTCTTATTGCAATTCCCGTTGTTTCACGTTCAATTTTAAATTTTGATGCGAGTTCTCTCACGTTTCTGCAGCATCAGCTGATTCACGTTTTAAAACACTTTGTTCTTGAAAATAATCGCGTTTGTTCCATTTATTTATACATAAGTGGAACAATATCTTTATTAATTACACGGAAACGTGATTATTATAATTAATTAATTAATTAATTAATTAATACTTTTTCTTTCCTATAGAGCGGTTTATTCTCGGCGTTGCCATACTTGGTCATGTGGATCCTCAGCTTTCCCATCAGCTGGCTGTCCGATTACGCGCTAAAGAAGGGCATGTCCAGGGGTACGGTCAGAAAGGTTTGCAATAGTGTGGCTCATTGGGGCCCGGCCGTCGCCCTGGCGTGTATGAGCATCGTACCCACCGACAATACTTGGGCCGTCGTCATCCTTACCGTGGCGGTGGGCCTGAACGCCGGATCCCTATGCGGCTATCAAATCAATCATATCGATCTCAGTCCGAATTTCGCGGGCACGATGATGTCCATCACCAATTGCTTCGCGACCATTACAGCCATTATCGCGCCGCTGATATGCAGTCTGATTGTCACCGATGAGGTAATTATTCGTTGCGCACTCAAGATATGCGCGAATCGCAAATTTTGTCGTGCATATAGATATGCGCTTTCAGTCTTAAAACTAAGTAAGTGTAATACGCATTTCCGACTTAAAAATCATTCAATTATCTATAAATTAATATATACACTGAAAAAAATTCCAAACATTTTTTTTATTTAAAAAAAATTATTTATTTAAATACTTACAGAGAAAAATTAGATATGTCAACCAAACAACAAATATGTTTGAATTAGTAAAATATATAAAATAAAAACAAAGTATGCTTTTATTCGAAAATAAAAAAATTTGTTTTTTTATCTTTATTATACTAAATTATTTCCATTAAAAAAACATTTTTTAATTTTTGGCTGCTTGTTCCAAAAACACAGATTTCCTTTATTTTAATAAATAAGTTTTTATCTTCAAATAAATAAATATTTTTTTACATTAAAATTTTAAATAATGTATTTTAAAAATTATAATTTTTATTACATGCAAATAATTTATTTAATATAACAAAACATTTTTGGAAACGAAGTATATATTTATTTAAGTAAAAAAAAATCAAAATTAATTTATGATTATGATATTAAATTGTATTTATCTGATTAAAAAAAATTTTTTTTTCAGTGTATAAAATAAGATATAAAGAAATTATTGAAATTAAGTAATGGATTTTTTAAATTTAGCTTGGTATCTCTGGTGTAAAAAAAAATTATATAAAACTGAAACTATAGTATGTGTGTATAGAGAACATTCGTAGATTCTACTTTTTTATTTATTTTCTTGTTTTTCGATATTTTTTTTATTTTACAATTTATTTATTAATCTTTTATTCTTTGTAAACTCGAACAAGAAATGAAGAGAGAGTTATTTAAATTCTAAATACATTTAAATATATATATGACTCGCTATCGGGAGATTTTTTACTTTTCAGAGCAATGTGTATCAATGGAATATCGTGTTCTATGTCTCGGCGGCGATCTTCTTTTTGGGTAATCTGATATTTGTGATATGCGGCAAGGGCGAAATACAATGGTGGAACGATCCTGACGAAGTCAAAGCTCGACAAAAAGGGGACGGAGACATAGAAGACAAGAGACAAACTTGAAATTCATACGTTTTTATGATTTTTCAAATTTACCACTGGGACTAATGTGTGACGTAAATCAGTTTGTAAGTTGGAAAGACCAACTGATTATATTAATCATAAGAACTGATTTATATTAATCTTTGTAAGTCACACATATTTTTTGCTCTGTTTCTGATCACATATGGGTCAAAATGTCTTGTCGCAGTTTTAATTGTCTCAAAATGTTTGAAAACAATCTACAAAAATTTATATATATATATATTCCTTGACACATCTGTAGAAAATGATCATGTGTACAACAAAAGTTAAAAAATAAATTTTAAACATTATTTTAATTACTTACTTAATTAATACTTACACGGGATATTCTATTGTCAAAATATCAATAATGTCAAAATGACCCCTGTGTGATCTATAATAAGGATTAGACTTGACTTTAAATACGAATCATCTGAGATCTCAGAATTACGATTACGAAGTCACTATTTGTCGTCGTTATAAGTGTTGCTGTACATACATATTTTATTATTCCATCATGAAGTGTGATGATGATCTTTCGACTCTTTGTACTGACGCGCTCGTTATCTACATTTTGCATTTGATAACGCTATAATCGTTAGTCAAAATTTTGAGATTAAAATAGATTTTTGATCACGTCGTTATATAACAATAAATTTTTATTTTCTGTTTAGGTCTGTTTCTTAGATACCGCCATATGTAATTTTAAACATTGTAAATGCACTTGTCCCATGCATATTAAATAAGATAAATTCTTCTTCAAATCGGATAAAATTTTTTATTACAATGAAAAAAATGTGTTGTAAAAGAAAAATGTCTACAAATTTGTTCACGAAACAGATATATCTATGTATTGATTGTATAAGAATGTTTGTCATAAAATACAAATTTTGACCTCTATTTATAATATTATATATAATCAAAAACAATCAAAAAGGCGGGCTTATGGAGCAATTAGCAATCTATGTGATAATACCTCGTAAAATTAAAATAGCGTGACATAAACTTATGAGTTGACGAAGAACTAGCAATATAATAATTTAGAAATCGTGATTAACGTAAAATACAATAAAAAATACATATTAAATAATAAACTATGAATTAAATACAAAGATGTTGACCAAGTAAAAAAAACAAACGTTTCAGTCCTAAACTGGACTCTCTTCAGTATTATACAATGATATAAAATAAGTACGATTGATAATCAAAAAGTAATTTGCTTTTAAAATAATAGACATAAGGGATAACTATAATAATTTATCTTCGTTTCAATTATTTAAATTTTATTGACCATATTGACCCTCTTCCTTTATCTCGCGTTTTTCACGATTAATAGATATATAACGATAATTACAATAGAGATACAATATTAACTTCGCTTCGGGTACTTATAAACGCGAATCCTTATCTAATAAAATGAATACACCGCGAATCGCAAACGTTTGCATTAAATGCGTTATCTTTGTAGGACGAAAGACAAGAAATCATTTATCGACGCGACGATCTATTCCGATACTTACTTCTGGTATAAATAAAAGAGCGTAATTAGGGCACAGTCGTAATTGTTATTAAATCTTAAATTATCTTATTCTCAACAAATCTTGAATTATTTAGAAAAAGAGAAACGCATTTACTTCAAGATAATTCATATTGAGCGAATTCTTCAATGATATATACAGGGTATCCTAAAACTACCGTACTTCCTCTTAATGATAGATTCCTTAGAACATTTCAAGACGAAAATTTTAATACAAAAATGTCGAGGCTATAATAGTTTTTAAACAGGAATCGATTATATTTTATGAATGGCAAGGCTGAGATTTCGCGCGCTCAGGCACTGCGAAATAGTAGACACCTTCATGGTAACATTAATCGACCACTTTGACAGTTGAAGTTGAAACATGTCGCAAATTTTTATTTGAATCATTTTTGAGATATCTTTTTGCATCCATTATTCGTAAAAAGAATGTATTAATGCAATGCGTATTGTAAATTTATGCGATAATCATAATATCATAAAAAAGACGCTCCATTCATAGAAGCACTTTTTTCACTTGTCATTTCGACGTGCCTGAGCACGCAAAATCTCAGCCTTATCATTCGTAAAATATAATCGCTTTCCGTTTAAAAACTATTATAGCCTCGACATTTTTGTATTAGGATTTTTGTCTTGAAATGTTCTAAGGAATCTGCCATTAAGAGGAAGTATGGTAGTTTTAGGACACCCTGTATATTGTACAACATGCCAACATGTACATATAGTACTATAATATGCAACCAAGTTATATCTTGTAAATAAAGAAAATTTTTTCTCTTTATTTGGAAAACATATCTTTTTCTCCTTTCTGTTTTATAATGTTCTCTATGTATTATGATCATTAATTTAATTTTATAATCATTAATATAATTTGTAATTTAAAACAATCAGTATAATTGATTCCTTCAATTATACAATAATTGATTCCTTTCAATTATACAATAATTGTACAATAATTAAATATTAATTTAAGTTAATGTTAATATAAGTTAAATGTGTTAATATAAGTCAAAGAAAAAGAGAAACCAAGAGGAGACCAAAGGAGAGAACATCAAGCAAATATATAATTAATAATGCAAATTGATTACATCCTGTTATATCGTAGTGATTCCAATGCTCGAGGATAATCCAACAGCGTGTTGTATGAACATTGTCATTCAAGCGTGCGTTTGAGCGCGCAAAAGAGTGGGAGAATCTGTTTTTGGTGATGCAGTATAAAACTACGTGGGTACGATCGATGGATCGTAGTCGTTTCTGTAATTTGTTCCCGTTTCTGCTCCTCGACGAAAGATTCACCGCAATGGCGTCGTCTGTACGAAAGAAAAGGGTCTCCATCATTTCCCTCTCGGAGAAGATGAAGAATTCACCGAATAAACCTAAAGGTAATTTTTGTTACATACATATAATTAATAGTATATTTACACATTAATTAATAGTATATTTAAACTATAAAAATTATATATATTTTATAGAAAAAGTAAAAAAAATGTTTTGCGAATAAATCTGTTGAAAAAAAAAAAAGATTTTAATGGAACTCAGTGTTATATGAAATTCATCGATACTTGTCTAATTAAAGATATTTTTCACGAAAGAATTTTTTATACAAAAAATTGCTTTATATAAAAAAATAGGAATTGTTATTGTTAAAATGTAGAGAGTAACTCGCGATTTTAATGTTAGTTGCATTTATAGGAGATAAAGTTTTCCTTAAGAAAAATGTGGAAGCACTAATAGTTCTCGAATTATAAAACAATAATAGAAATCATAATTATATTTCTAGTTAATTTCAAATAGACTTAAATGGAATTCTAATTTGAGTTACAAAAATTTGTAATATTAAATATTACAATAATAAAGATTGCAATAAACGTTAGCTTTTTCCCTTGATATTTTCGGAAAAATCAACTATATATAAATCTGTCATTATAATTAAAGTCGCAAGTTGTGAGATGTTCTGTATAATAAATCACGTACGATATCACAAGATTTACAATAAAATGATTAAAAAATTTCAATTGGTCTTTATCCATAATTTTTTTACATATAAATACTAGATTTAAAAATCTTTATAAAATATAAAAGTATGAAAATAACATATATTATATAAATAATATAGTAAATAAAAAAATATATAACATTTAAAACTTTTAAATGATTTATTTAAAAAACTTTTAAAAAACAGATTTAAATAAATCTTTTTCTTCCTCATGTTATATGGTATTATCAACAATATCGATATGATTTGATTTGTCCGATTATCATCTTCAAATATGTAGCAGATTATTGAACAATAACCGAGTATATGATAACGATAATAGAGTTAGATAGACTTATTGAGAGGTAAAGCCTACGATCTTTATTCAACAGTCAAATTGCAAATAATATTCGATTACGGAATAATAATCATGGATTACGTTAATACGAAATGCATCCTTGTATTAACATTGAACCACTTGCCTTATCGAGACATCATTCATTAATATACAAAAAGTTTCAATATTTATTTATTAATTTAAGACACTTTTTGACACGAACATTTTATATGATATTGGCACTTCAGATTTTTATAACGAATTATATAAAGAGCGTTATCGAAATATCTTTAACGATTGGTATAAAGGGCATAAATAACAAGTGATAAGAAAAGCAAACTTGGATATTGACTATTGATTCGGGATATTAAATAATATTAATCAAACTTAACGATAATAATATAGTAACAGCACGTTGTCTTCCTTTGATAAGCGTATCTCTTTTACGACTTATTACAAAACTTTAAAAAATATTTATCTTTCTCTTTTTTGTATTATATGTTGTATAATTATAGTTCTTCAGATATCATTTTTATTTCTTTCTCTTTAATTTACCCTTTGTCAGCTTTCTTGTAATCCGTATTTCAAAACAAACCTGAAGATATATTTCGCAAATGAAAGTAGTATATTATGTAATTATTGATTAGAATCAATTGGACATTCCGCGCATTCTTGGATTAAACGCGGAATAAAGTAGTAAGAGAATCGTCGGATAAATACGATTACTAAGATTTTATCGATCGCGTTCGCATACCAGTGATGCCCCTGACGTAATGGGTAATTGTTGCTGGATTCCAAGTACAAACACCGAGCGTGCGATCTCACTGACGCAGCGCGATCTTGACGACAATGACATATAATTTGTATTCGATTCCGCGTTTATACGTGACGTTCATGTAAACATAATCGCCGCATTACGATGAACCGATCATTATAAAAATCAAGAAAGAAATTACAATGAGTGAGAATTATAAATCTTATTTGTATATGTACTCTTTTTTAATTAATTAAAAATTTTAAGAAATTCAAAAATTTTACGCGTTTTTAAATTCAATATTATTTTATGTCAAAAATGTAATATATTAAGAAAAAATGGCAAGAAAAGAAAAAAGAAGAAACACATATTTTTTTTTATGAAACATATTAACGACGTGCGCCCGGCTAAATGTTGGCGCTGATTAGCCAGACTTTATTCAATAATAACTCCTTTATTAAGCGTTATAAAAAAAATGGTTCAGGACTTTTCGACTCAGTTTGAGCTAATCTACCTTCATACTTCGAGTGTGTCAAAAATTATCGGACACCCTGTATATACATATATTTTTCGTACGGGGTGTCCGATAATTTTTGACACACCCGAAGTGTAAAGGTAGATTGGGTCAAACTGAAAAGAAAAGTCTTGTACCTTTATTTTTTATAACGTTTAATAAAGAAGTTATTATTGAATAAAGTCTGGCCAATCAGCGCTGACCTTTAGCCGGGCGCACGTCGGTGAACCGCGCGCCTGGTAGTATGCGGCGACATGATTGCCTTTCTATGGGAAAATTCTCGGAGAAAAGATCAAAAGCGACTATCTTCCGGTTTTCTCGGGATGAGAGTGAATAATTAAAACATAGCGTGGACTTTCGAAACTCTGCTTCCGTACTCTTTCGTGTCAGAGAGCGCGTAAGTATGGAAAGTAGACAGGCTGTGAAATATCGCAAAGAGATTTGCTATAAGTTCTGATTGTTCCGAAGATCTTTGAAAAACAATTGACAAAGTGCATCAAAATTATTATTAAGATTCAATATACAAGTGTTTGAACATTTTCCCTTTCTTTTGTATCGCGTTGTCAGGATACGTCCGATCAACATTCAAACGAAAGTAAATATAAACGACGACGGAAATCGGATGTCGTGTCATGCTGGTTTCTAATTCTCGAGGTAATTAATAGTCGAACGTTACACGTCGTCTTGATTACCGGTGGTGCGCATTATGTCACGGTTTTGCGTTACGCTCGCGTAGCTCATGCGTTCCGGAATATTGCTTTTCATGCGCGAGACTCTTATCGGAAGTCTTCCTTGTCGGGCAGTCATACTTGTCGAGCAATTAAGTCGTTGCGCATAAATCGTCTCGGGGCTCTATGAACACCCAGGCGCTCTTATCACGCAATTGCCTCTACGATACGTCAGTGTGGAAAACTAGTTCCGCTATATTACGAACGAATCAAAATCCGTTCATCGTTCCGGTTTGATGAAGAGAACGAGAGCGACGCGCTTCTCATTCTTTTAATTTATAATTCGAAAATTAACATCTTTTTTCCAATTTCAATTTATGATCTTGAGCTCTTTTTTTTTATTCGTGAGCGCGCTTAAACTCTTTCCTCTGATAATTATTCCGTTACCTCAGCGTGTTATCGTAAGACTCGGGTTATTACGAGTCGAACAATTACAACTCGGGCCGAGAATCACGTAGGCGGGTGACGCTTTAATTGCAGCGTGCGATATCGGAGCTATACATATATTATACGTTATATAAAAATATTATTTAGCCAATAAATTAATAATTTGTAAATACTTTTTACTAAAAATAAATGTCTTTTTTTGTTTGCTTCGTTTAAGTAATAAAAATATATAATTATTATATTATTTAAAATATATTATAAAATAAA